TATGTATTTATTAAGATAGTTTAAATGACAATTAACCCATTAAGAACATAAATATTTTAATGGAGAACAAACAGAGGGTTACTGGTGGGGGTGTGGAGGGGAGAAGGGCTAAATGGGTAAGGGGCATTAAGGAATCTACTCCTGAAATCATTGTTGCACTATATGCTAACTAATAATTTGGATGTAAATTAAAAAAAATAAAATTAAAACAAAGAACATATATATTTTATCAAAAATAAATATATTTTCCCCAAAAAAGTTAGTGGGAAAAATTTAGTTATCTATTTTCACAAATCTCATTAATATGTGTCTTAGTTAAAAGCTCAATTCTATTTCTGCATTCAGTCTGTTATAATATATCATGACATCACAGAGCACTGGTAAACTACACAATACATTCATGAAAGAATGGGAGTTTAAAAGGATAAGCAATGCTGTAAGATTATTATAAAGAGTTAGACCTTCCAGATCCTCTGAAAAATCTCAAGGACTTCTAGGGGTGTCCAGGCCACACTTTGAGAACATTAACACTATTGTAGTTTAGAAATTAAAAGTTACGTTTTAACACGGGGCATAAACTGACCACATCTACATTTTAGAAAATTATGTTTCGATAATACAGATATGAAAAAAAAACAAAGTAAAACTATTCTAGGGAATATATCGGCTTCACACATGGAACAGAAAATTTTCATGATCTTTAAGTAATGGCTTTCCACTAGAGGGATTTTACTTTTTAGCATTATTAAGACGACATATACCTCCTCAAATATGTTTCATATGTGCCTGGTCCTATAATTTACATAATAAGAAATTAATTATCGATAACTTTATGACAATCAACTTGAAAATTTAAATAATGGGGTGCTTAGGTGGCCCAGTCAGTTAAGCTACTGGCTTTGGCTCAGGTCATGATCTCAGTTGGTGAGTTCAAGCCCCACGTTGTGGGGCTCTGTGCTGACAGCTCAGAGCCTGGAGCCTGCTTCGGATTCTGCATCTCCCTCTCTCTCTCCCCTCCCCTGTTCCACTAGAAAAATATAATTTACCAGAACTTATACAAAAAGAAATCCTGAATAGTCTGATAACCAGGACTGATATTCATCTTGTGAACATCAGTTAAGTAACATCATTTATTTATAGCTGGCATCCATGGAACAATCAGGTGTCCACTCTGGTTGGCCTATGCCTATTCCTTATCTAATGTCAATGATATAAAATATCATCCTGACATATACCCATGAAATGACTGAATCAAAAAACTTTCGTGCAAATAAATCTCCAAATCTAAATGACTTTGCTATTGAGATAGACCAAACATTCAAGGATAAAAATTATTCTAAACTTACAGAAATTATTCCATAGAATAAAGAAGAACCACTCTTTAACTCATTAAGAAAAACTAATATAACATTTATACCAAGCCTGTCAAAGAGCATACAAGAAAGGAAAATTAAAAGACAACCTCAGTCATAAACCTAGATTCAAATTTCCAAATTAAAATAAAAGCAAACTGAATATAGTCATATATAAGAAGGGTAACACATTATGACCAAGTGAAGTTCATCTAAATAAGGTAAGGTTGGGGGCGCCTGGGTGGCGCAGTCGGTTAAGCGTCCGACTTCAGCCAGGTCACGATCTCGCGGTCCGTGAGTTCAAGCCCCGCGTCGGGCTCTGGGCTGATGGCTCAGAGCCTGGAGCCTGTTTCCGATTCTGTGTTTCCCTCTCTCTCTGCCCCTCCCCCGTTCATGCTCTGTCTCTCTCTGTCCCAAAAATAAATAAAAACGTGGAAAAAAAAATTTAAATAAGGTAAGGTTGCTTTCATATTAGAAAACCAATTAATGTAATTTACCACATTAATAGATTAAAGGTACAAATGATATGGCCATCTTAATAAATACAGAAAAAGCATTTGATAAAATTCCACATTTTTTTTTCTTTTCAGCAGTGGTCTAGAAGTTCCATCTAGCACAACAAGGGGCAGCAGGAGTTGTTGGGGTGGGGAGTCTTCATTTGCAGATGATATAACTGTGTAAACCCAAAAACCTACGCATATAAATCTTAGCACTAATTAGAGAATTTAACAAGTTGTCAGGATATAGGGTCAATATAAAAACCATCAATTATACTTCCACATATCTTAAACAGAATATGAAATAAAATTTAAAATACCATTTAAAATAATATCAAATATATGAGATAGCTAGGAAATAGTGTAACAAAAATTTCCAAGAATTTCCCTTTCCCTTTAGGAAAGAGGAAAACAATAAAGTATATTGAAAAACATTAAAGAAGACTTAAATGAATGGAGAAATATTCAATATTTAAATATTAGAAGACTCAATATTATAAATTTGTCAATTCTCCAAATTAACTAATAAATTCAAAGCAATCACAATCAAAATCCTAATGGGTTTCCTGTTGAAACTAACAATCTGATTCTAACACTTACATGGAAATTCACAGATAAAATAACCAAAATACTGTGGAAGATGTAAAAGATGAGAAGACATGCTCTACCAGATATGAAGCTATTTTTAAATATAGTAATTAGCATATTGTTACAACTGAGATAAACAAATTGCATAAAGTAAAAACAAAATGCAGTTTGACACACATATGGGGACTTGATTTTAGAGCATTAGGAAATAATTTGCTCTTTCTTTCTTTCTAATCCAGAGCATTAGGAAATAATTTGCTCTTTCTTTCTTTCTTTCTTTCTTTCTTTCTTTTTTAGAAAGAGAAAGTACAAGTGGGAGAGAGGGACAGAGGGAGGGAGGGGGGAGGGATAGGGGGAGAGGGAGAGAGGGAAAGGGAGGGAGAGGGAGAGAGGGAGAGGAAAGGAGGGAGGGAGGGAGAGAGAGAGAGAGAGAGAAACTTAAGCATGCTCAGGGCACCATGCTCAGCACAGAGCCCTACCCCATGAATCTGGAATAATGACCTGAGCCAAAATCAAGAGTTGGGCACTGAACCAACTGAGCCATTCAGTCACTCCTCTTTTTTTAAATATAATATGCTAATAACATGGCATACATTTATGAAGATCCCTATCTCAGAGTGAGCACAAAAAAAAATTCTAAGTGTGAATAATAAAACTCTAAAGCTTTTAAAAGGTAATATAAATGAGTATTTTTATATCCTCACAGTTTGGGAAGGATTTCTCAAAAAAGACATCAAAAAGTACTAATCTGAAAGAAAAGATTGACATATTTGATCACCTTAAAATTCAGATTTTTTCTTTATGAAACACAATAAAATGTTAAAGACAAAGCTGAGATTAGGAGAAGTTAACTTTCAAAGCATCTATCTCAATGACTGGTGTCCAGAATATATAAAGAATTTCTACAAATAAATAAGACAATTCAACAAAAAAAATAGCCAAAAAAAAGTAAACAGAAACTTCACAAAAGAAAAAATCTAAGGTGGCCAATAAACATATGTGTGCCTGATATATACCATGTCAGATCGTCTTGGCCTTAAACCTGTCTCGATGGCCCCTGGACACTTGTTCCAGCCCCAGCCAGTGCCAAGGCTACCAACCATGAAGGGACTCTGACTAACTTCATAAAGATACTAGGCAACAGCATCTGGCCTCAAACCCACCTCTCACCTCTTCCACAGAAACTTCGAGGTTGATAATTAGGACCACCGAACACCCATACATGTAGAATCCAGACGTGTATGAGATTCAATGTCCCATGTAATCAATCTTTGACTAGAAGACAGCAGCCAATGAATGAATTCTTTGCCCTTCCTCCTGTTCTTCCTCCCTCCCATTCTACTAAGCAGATAGTTGTGAGAAACAATCCTTTACACAGCCTCTCAGAAGATAGTTCAATAAGACTGATGATCATTTGCACTTGATAAGAGAAGTACCTACTTTAAAATGTATCCCTGAATTTGCCATTTTTCCTGTCTCACTCCCTGGCCCCTTAATAGTGCTCTCTTGGATTACACCCTCTATCAAAGCAATAGCACACAAGCCTTTTCCTTAGGCTCTGCTTTCTGGGGAACTCAAGTTAAGGCAATATGAAAAGTGGCTTAACCTCACTTACAATCAGTGAACTACCACAACGAGATACTAAACTTAGCCATCAGATTAACAAAAATTAAAATTCTTATAATACCAAGCATTAACAAGAATGTGGAAAAATAGAAACTCATACATTGTTAGTGTAAGTGCAACTTGGTACAACCACTTTGAAATACTATTTGGCATTATCTATTAATGGTGAATATTTGCATATCTTAAAATTGAACACTTCAACTTCTAGTTATATACCTTATGGACATAGCAGATTTATCACGAAGCAAATCAAATTTAAGCCTCAAGGCATGGATCCCCTCCAAGTCCTTATACCAAATTTTGGTGAGAGAGAGAAAGAGAAAGAGAGAGAGAGACAGAGAGAGAGACAGAGAGAGAGAGAGAGAGAGAGAGAGTGTGTGTGTGTGTGTGTGTGTGTGTGTGTGTGTGTGTGTGTGTTTTAAAGTGAGCCCCAGAGGTGCCCGACTTCAGCTCTGACTGAAGCATCTGACTTCAGCTCAGGTCATGATCTCATAGTTCGTGAGATCAAGCCCTGCATCGGCTCTGTGCTGATACTTCAGAACCTGGAGGCTGCTTTGGATTCTGTGCCTCCCTCTCTCTCTGCCCCTCCTCTGCTCACTCTCTGTCTCTCAAAAATGAATAAACATTAAAAAAATTTTTTATTAATAAAAATAAAATAAGTCCCCCAAACTGTATGAGTTTAAGACCCAAAATCCTGGATCCACCCTTACCCAGATAAAATTGATCAGGATACAACTACAAGAAGCAACACTGTTCCGAACAGCCCCAAACTAGAAATAACCCAAATAAGTATCAATTGATGAATGGCATATCACTCAGGGAACTCTATCTGGGTAAAGACATTTACTGTAGTAAATATCTTATACAGCTATGGAACAAGCTAGGGAAATAATGGCCCAGAAGGGGGAGTTGGAGGATCAGAGAAGGAGTTACTAACCAAGTAATCTTAAAGCCAGGCTGAAGTGGAACGAAGGGAAAGTCCATGGAAATGTCTCCAGTCAGCTGCTGCCTCTGGGTAGCTATCACCTCTCTAGGTCCATAACCAAGAGGGTAGGGGGCATCTGTTGGTGAACAGGGTCAATAGTCAAGAAGAGATGGACAAAGAGAAGAGTGTGGACAAACTATAATCTTCTGGGCACCTCTGTCACCATATCTTTAACACTACCCAAACTTTCAGAAAATAATGGTTGCTTTATTTCTGTGTTCCAAGTATCATGCACATTCTCCTTCTATCAACTCTACCTCAGAACCCCACAGGGAAGCAAATTCTGAAAAATGCAGTTTATAGCTTATCCAAATTAGCACAACACCATGCAGCACAAATAGAATATATATGCAATGGAATACTATACTAATTATAAATAAATTATTACTATATTATACTGATTATGAATAAAGTTCAGCTACACACACAAACTTAATGCTAGAGAAATTAAGACACATAGCAAGCTTCATTTAAGGAAGACTTCATAGTGTGTAATTCCATTACATAAGGTTCAAAAAGAAGCTGAACTAGGCCACATTGATTAAAGATGCATAAAGAGGTGATAAAACTAAAGAGAAAAGAAAGGAATCAATTATCATGAAAGTCAGGATAATGATTATCTCTAGGGGAAAGGGGAGGATATGATCTTGAAAGGATTTTAGAAAGAAAGTTGGTATTATTCTATTTTTTGACCATACTGTTTGTTACCCAGCTTTTGCTTTGTAAGTATTCATTAATTTTGCATTTCTAATGCATTTTTCTGTATATTTTATAATATTAAAGATAATATTTAATAAACTGAATTCCACCATTCTCTCCTTTAGTCTTTATGAGACCAGGCAAGCACACATCACAATGAGTCCTAGAAGAATATGGAGGCAGGAAAGGTACTGTTTCCCTTGCAGATCTAGGAATGGGGTCCTTACTGATGGGCCTGCTTTCAGCAATTACAATGAATTCCAAGCAGGTTACTATGGCTGGATTTGTATGTTTATGATTATTATCCATTACTAGCTATATAGATTAAATGTTTGTGTCCCCCCAAATTCTTGTTGAAACTTAATCCCCAGTGTGATGGTATTTGGAGGTGGGACCTTTGACAGGTGATTACATGATGAGAGTGGAGCCCTCATGAATGAGATTACTGCCCTTATCAAAGAGATCCCACAGAGCTCTCTCACTCCTCTGTCATGTGAATACACAGAAAAAGACAGCCATCCATGATGGCTTTCCTAACCAGGAAATAGGGCTTTACCAGACACCAAGTCTGCCAGTACCTTGATCTTGGACTTCCCAGCCTTTAGAACTATGGTATTTTGCTATTGCAGCCAGCACAAAGAAACTAACTAAATTATCCTTCAAAACATGAAAGCAGTTAAAATGTCTCCTGAAAAAAAAATTAAGGATTGAAGAAAATAAAATAATAATATAGGCACAAAAGAACAATGAGAAAATGGCAGAGCTGATGTTTCCTCTCCTATTCTGTGCCTTTTTGCAGCCTCAGTATAAGGTAAAATCAATGATGATCAGCCTAAATAGGTAAGCAAAGTTATAAAGAATATAATTTGATGAAGATTTAAATTAACAATTGTTTACATTGATACTTGCCCTAAAAAAAGTATGTTGCTCACGAATTTAAAAAGGTAGAACACTAAACTTCCTGTTGACAGTGAGCAAGCTATTTAACTTCCCTAAGGCTGGAGTGCCCTATAAAATTAGTGAAAAAAGAGTACCTGTATCCTATGTAAGGATTAAATAAGACAATCTATGTAAAATGGTTAGACTAGTACCTGGGAACCAGCAGGTATTCGGTATATCAGGTATCTTTTTAAACTTTCTTCTAGAGTAAGGGTAAGTTGTTTTTCTTCAAGGAATCCATAAACACCCTGAAGAAGGCAAGAGTAGATACTTTGGAATAATAACTTAAATGTCCCTAAATTTAGAAAAGAAAGAAAAGATATTTAAATCTAACTCCTATTTTTTGTTTGTTTGTTTGTTTATTTTTGAGAGAGACAGACAGAGTGCAAGCAGGGGAGGGGCAGAGAGAAAGGGAGACATAGAATCTGAAGCAGGCTCCAGGCTCTGAGTTGTCAGCACAGGGCTGGGGGGCAAATCCAGTGAGACTGTGACATGAGCTGAAGTCAGGTGCTTAACCTACTGAGCCACCCAGGTGCCCCAAATCTAACCCCTATTTTCTAAGAAACTATGAAATCTACATGAAGAAAATCACTCTCTCAAACATTTAAACCTGAAACAAGAAGAAAAAGAAAGAATCGCTCTCCACTAGACTCTCAGTATTAACATCTGGTATTAAAAGCACAAAATATTTTTATATAAAGCCTTAAAATATAATGGTAGCAAAGCTTATATGATACACATATGGATAAAACCATATATCTTCAATAATAGTCTCTGAAATTAACCCTATTTGCTATCAGCTTAAAGATCCTATATTTTAAAAAGAATAAATTTTATTTCTATTGGAATATTAAAAGAATTTTCTTTATTTATAAGATAAAACATAAAACATTTCAATAACTCAAAGGTAAAATACTCAATTTAGCAAGAAAGTAGTCTTCAATGAAGAAAGATACTTTTCAATGGAAAAAAGAATACTGATTTGAATTCCATTCAAACTGTATCACTGTGAAGTGAAAAATATTGTGAAAGTAATATTATTGACTTGAATAGCTATTTTCCTGGTTTTATCATAGCCAATCCTTAAGTTATCATCCCTGTGCATATACCATAAGCAACTTTTAAAACCAATGGAGGATACACCATAGCAATCCCCTCTTGTAGTTTTTAAGATGAGAGAGAAAAGTCTTATCTCAATGTACAGAATCCTAATTTTTGACATGTCTCCATGACATGGAAGCTCTCTGGAACAATTTTTCTCAAGATCTGTGACCCTAAGGGCACCTGGGTGTTTCAGTCAGTTAAGTCTCCGACTCTTGTTTTCTCTCAGGTCAAGATCTTGTGGTCGTGAGTTCGAGCCCCATGTTGGGCTCCGTGCTGACAGTGCAGAGCCTGCTTGGGATTCTCTCTCTCCCTCTCTTTTCCTGCCCCTCCCCTGCTTGCTCTCTCTCTCTCTCTACCCCCCAAAATAAATAAATAAACTTTTTTAAAAAATCAAAAACAAAAAAAAAAAAAGATCTGTAATGCTATATAATGGTATGACATAGCTGGGCTTACTTAGTATATATCCAAATAGTCTACCTAATTTTCAATTTTTAAATTAAAATTCCACCAAATTACTTACAAGATATGCTGGAAAGACACTGAAATTCACTAGTGGTGAGGGAAATGTTTTAACAAGAGACATCACTGTACATAACTCAGGCTGGCAAAAATACAAAAAATAACACCTGTTTTAGGTTGAATGTGAGTGAGGGAAACTCACATGCATTGCTAGTAAGACTAAATAAAGTGCTTCAGCCAAATGAATGAGTAAAGGAGACTAAAAAAACAAAGAAACAAAACAAAAAACTCTAGGCCAACTTCAAATTTTGCCAGCCTAGATCTAATAAATGACTCTAAAAAGATATGTTTGGCATAAACTACACACTGATTGCAGTTTCATGAAGAAGCAGAAAGCAGCTTTCAACATATACAGATTTCTCCCAACAGAAGAGAAAAACTATGGCCAGGTGCCGAATAGATTTCATTGAAAAAGTCACCCTGTGTGTGTCAGGGTTTTGGGGTCCTAGAGCCCCAAACATAGCAACTCATTACCTGCTTAACTTGGAAAGTTTTTAAATCTCTATAAAACATAGTTTCTTCATCTCTAAACACTATAGCCCTAGCTTGTTGGGTTATCGTGCTTACTACCTAACTCAACATGGCACACTGAGTGCTCAATAGATGCCACATCTTTCCTGAGGCCAGAGGCGACTGACCCCTTTTTTATCTTATCTTGTTAGCAATTAGGTATCATATTTCTCGAATGAAGAACTAAGGTTATTTTAGGTCATTTCTAATCCCAATCATGAAGAAGTAAATCTATTCTTTCATTGATACACATGGATAACTAACAGTGATTCATGTTAAAGTGAGTTAAATGTCTCAAATTCTTTCTAAGTCCTGCATAATATCCTGTCTTCATACTGACCATTTTCCTTTAGAACAGCAACTATTCAACCCCTACAAATTCAGTGAATTTAACCACCCTTGACATTCAATAATAAACCTAAAAATAATTGATCTATAATTTCAGTTTAAATGATCTGACATAGCCAGGCTACTTTTAAATGACAGCAAATGGGATTTTTTAATGGAAATATTGATAGGCCCTTAAGTGTATTGGGGAGTCGAGGACAATGACAATGATATTGCACTAATAAACCTAATGCCACAGAGACTGTCTTTTTAAAAAATGTGTCTTTTCTTTATCACAGCATAATACCTAGCTTGACAACAGAAATGTCAACAGTTAGGGCTCTATTCTTCAAACCGTCATGCTCTATTAATGCTGTTTTTCAGTGGGATTTACTTTGTCAAGAAAGGAAGGACCAAAGAGGAAAGTCTATGGTCTTCCTATTCACTAAATCCCTCCTCTCACTGATGCACAAATGACTAACTACTCCCAATGCCACAGAATGAATGAGAGTTGAAAACGGGCCAAAATCATCCAGGGAGCAGGCGGAAAAAGCCAGCCTTGTATAAGCAAAGTCATGCTTAGACAAGAAGAAAAAGCAAACAGAGTAGGTGATAGTAATGCCAAGGGGTGCTCCCTGTGCTGTGTTTGTGCTCTTTCAGTTGTGGGGAAGCAACAGAGAAAGGCTTCCCCATGCAAATATAATTGAGTACTATTGGCTGGGGCTGCGAATAGTGTCTTAGCTAGGTTCTAAAGAAGTCCATGCAGCTTAACCCCTTTAATCCAGAAAGGAGGAGGAAAATAAACTACTTGGCTGGCAGAGACACATAAGGATGTAAAATAAAGCCAAAGAGGGGTTAAAAGGATTACAGATGGGGACTGTTCATTGTAATGAGGGGGCATCAAGAGCCATAGGACAGCAGGAAGGAGGCAGAAAGTTTTGTTTAGCTTAGGTTTAATTGTGAAATTTGGATGCAGAAGAGATTTTGGTTTACCCAGTGTGTTAAAAGAAGTAATGATCTCATAAGTTTTTTTTTTTTTTTAAGTTTTTTTTTTTCAACGTTTATTTATTTTTGGGACAGAGAGAGACAGAGCATGAACGGGGGAGGGGCAGAGAGAGAGGGAGACACAGAATCGGAAACAGGCTCCAGGCTCTGAGCCATCCGCCCAGAGCCTGAGGCGGGGCTCGAACTCACGGACCGCGAGATCGTGACCTGGCTGAAGTCGGACGCTTAACCGACTGCGCCACCCAGGCGCCCCATAAGTTTTTATATGAAATAGACACATAAACAAATTCTAAATAAGGATCCAGAGCTCAGAAATTACTTGAAACTTTAAATACCTGAGTGAAAGAATCTGCTGTGTCATGCAACTATATAGTTGCTTCTTGTCCCCAGACTATGTGTGTGAAACACTATCTTTTTCATTGTTCACAAAACTCCAATGAGATCAGCACACGAGGACTTACCTTCTAAATTTATACTCCATCCTAAAATTAAAAATAGACCTAACCTATGACCCAGCAATAGCACTGCTGGGAATTTACCCAATGGATACAGGAGTACTGATGCACAGGGGCACTTGTACCCCAATGTTTACAGCAGCACTCTCAACAATAGCCAAATTATGGAAAGAGCCTAAATGTCCATCAACTGATGAATGGATAGAGAAGTTGTGGTTTATATACACAATGGAGTACTACATGGCAATGAGAAAGAACGAAATATGGCCCTTTGTAGCAACGTGGATGGAACTGGAGAGTGTGATGCTAAGTGAAATAAGCCATACAGAGAAAGACAGATACCATATGGTTTCACTCTTATGTGGATCCTGAGAAACTTAACAGAAACCCATGGGGGAGGGGAAGGAAAAAAAAAAAAGAGGTTAGAGTGGGAGAGAGCCAAAGCATAAGAGACTCTTAAAAACTAAGAACAAACTGAGGGTTGATGGGGGGTGGGAGGGAGGGGAGGGTGGGTGATGGGTATTGAGGAGGGCACCTTTTGGGATGAGCACTGGGTGTTGTATGGAAACCAATCTGACAATAAATTTCATATATTAAAAAAATAATAATAAATAAATAAATTTATACTCCATCCTGTCACATGATGACAACTGAGGGTACAGTCTTCCTCAGAGTGACACGACCAGAAAGTACTTCCTGTCGCCATCTGTTGTCAGGCTCCATGTGTATGCCTAAGAGTTTCCCTACAGGAAACACTGCCTTGCAAAAAAGTTTTTAAAAGCTATTTAGCAATGAAAAAGCCCAATGCGAAAACAGAAAACTCCCCTGCTAATTTTTAAGTTATTCACATAGCAATCTCCTACCCTGTTTCTAGAATTTATCTAACTTCTTTCCAAATAAACATAAAAGCTAGAAATTTTTTCATAACAAATTGTTTACAGAACCATGAAATCATCATTATATTAGCCTTATTATGTCTTATTTTTCTTTGTAAATGGTAGGGAAAATTATACTCTTTATCTTCCTTCCATTTATAACTGAGAATTAGGAAATGTCCAGAAAGCACTTGAGTTATTGCTACAGTGACCAAATCCCAATATCTGTGCTTTTTCATATGTACTTACGAATGACTTCATTACAATTAAATAATCACAGTGTGTATGCTCTTCCTACAGGTTTTTCAGCATCCAATAGCAAAGGTTATGTTCATAAAATAAAAGACCATGACACTTTCACTTCTAACTAAGGTCAGAGAGCTAATAAGGCAACAGGGCTTAGGGGGCAAGAATCCTTGAGAGAAGAAAACTTCACTGAGATGAACCCATATTCTGTACGATT